TAGGGAAGGGAAGAGACCCAGTGGATTTCCTGCTGCTCTGCTCCCATACCTTCATCATCCAGGCTTCTGCCATCTCCTACCACAGGAGTGCTACCATTCCCATCCTAGACTTGCACAGGCCTGAGCAAGGCCACGTCCCCTCATTTACTTGCAGGAACCAGCATTCTCCTCAACCTCCTTTTTCCCTACCTCACCTCTCTTTCCTTCCTACCACATGTCCTGCAGGGTCAGACTCACATGGAGGGAATTAGAGGGAGGATAAGAGAGGGAAAAATAACAGTTCCTAGCAGGCACAGCTGTTAACGTGACTCTGTTTTATTTCAGTCTACCCAGCAGAAACAACCTACTGGCCACCTCGGTACCTGTCATCAGACGTCCAGGAATATTCCCACTATGAGATTATTCAAGGCCCTCCTGCATCCTCCTCCCATCCTCCTCTCCCCCCGCCGCCGCCTCCACCCACGGACACGGAGCCGGTTGCTCTTTATGGGGGTTTTCCCTTCCCACTTGACCAGAGCAACAAGCGGGCCCCCATCCCACCCCGCTACAGCAACCAGAACCTGGAGGACTTCCTGCCGCTGGGCCCTGTGGAAATGGGAGCCTCCCAGTGCCAGAATGAATACACCGCCATCAGCTACTACCCAGCCCAGCTGGTGCAGGGGGAAGGGGTCCCCTACCAGGCCGACCCCGGGTACAAGCGGGTGAGCATGCGCCTGAGCGTGGCCCAGCCGTCCTACGAGGACTGCGACGTGGGACGCAAGCCCAGCATCCGCGCCCAGCCGCTCCCACCGCCCAACTACGAGGGCTCCGATATGGTGGAGAGTGACTATGGGAGCTGCGAAGAGGTGATGTTTTAACGGGGACTCGTTCTGGAGGCGAGAAGGGAAGCGCATCTCCACGCAGAACAGCGCACAGGGGCTGGCACGTGCCACCAAGGGGAGGTTTGCATCCCCCCTGCCCCGGCTCACAGCATCCCTCTCCCCAGCCCACACAGCTGGGTCGTAACCTGGTCTGGATCTTCGCCTCCCACTGCCCTCCGTGGCATCTCACTGCTAATGGAAGGTGAGCGCTCCAGCCACTGCCGGGACACAGAGAAAACACTGCAGACTAACTCATCCTCCTTGCCAAGCTGGCGATGCTCCGATGTGGAGCAGGACCTGAACATGCCACCTCTTCCCACTGCAGAGTCATCCACTGCGGCTGTTGGGAGGAGGAATGGAAGGAAACATTGCAGGAGGGGCATTGACTGTGGCAAAGAAGGTGCAGATGAACTAGAGCTGTACAGACCAGGAGTCCCCAGGCTGGGATAGCAGGGACTCCCCAGTCTCCTGTGCCAAGGCCTGGGCTTGAGCTACTGATTTGCCAGATGGACCAGTCCAGGTGACACAAACTCACTTCCTTGTTTGTTCCCTTTGAGTCCAAGCCAAGGGAGAGAGAAGAAGGCAGAAGAGCAGTTGGGCCCATCAGCACATCCCTCCCTTGGGCAAAAGAAGCCCAGGAAATAAATAATTAGAAGTCATTTCTACAGAGCAACCAAGCAACAAACCCACAGCACAGGGACATCCCGTAGCTCTCTGGCTTTCCTGGTCCCAAGCTGAATGCCACTGGTACACGGCCCTGTCACCGACCTGGGACTTTCTGGGTCCTCAAGGCATGGCCAGAGCATCCATGGACTCCAGGACTGCTGATCCAGTTGCTGGTTATGTGCAAGGAACCACAGGCACACAAGGATGAGCCCTGGGCAGGGGACACGTGGTAGAACAAGAGCCAGCAGCAAGACGCATGGCAAGATTAACGGATGTGGCATTGGCCTGTTTTCCTGTGCTCAGGAACATGTTGTTTCCTTGTGAGAGATTTTCCTTCTTTTTTATTATTATTATTTTTGGTTGGATGATTTTTGAAAAGTAATAAAGAGGGTTTTTTATTATTATTATGCTTGTATTTCTGTGATTCCCTGGAGCAAAGAGCAGTGCCTCACCTCAGACACAGTGAGGTCTCCAGACAAGCCCGGAGCCAAGGAGCGCTGCAGTGTGAGAGCCAGGTCCATCCCTGCCGCCATTCCCCTCTCCAGTCCCAAACACTCGGGAGAAGCAGGGGTCTCCCGTTTCCAAAAGCCAGGCCGCATCCCCTTGGGGACGACGACACAGGAACACCAAGAAACACATCCCGAGGGTCCCACAGCATCCATGAGGCCTGGTATCTTGGGTGGCCCTTCGGGAGAAGCAGGGGTCTCCTGTTTCCAAAAGCCAGGCCACATCCCCTTGGGGACAACGACACAGGAACACCAAGAAACACACCCCGAGGGTCCCACAGCAACCATGAGGCCTGGTATCTTGGGTGGCCCCAGCTCACAGGAAGGGCCACGGCCTTGCAACATGGCCGCCCCTCTCACCACAGGCCGCCCAACAAGGACAAGGAGACACTGAGGGCTGCCCCTCGGGGACCTCTCCTGCTTCCCACCTTTTCTGCGTTCCTTTAGCAGGAACCTGCCACTTGCACTGCCTACATTCACACTCCCATTACTCCGGACATGCCAGGTACCCCCAGATACTACACAAGCTACAAAGCTTTACTGTGCTGTACATGGAAGCAGAGAAGAACTTTGCTTATCCTTTGATTTCTGGCTTTCCAGTGAAAGCAGTGCCACCCAGGAGACTGATTTTGACTTTTGCTTCTTTAAAATAAAAATAATTAAAACAAAAAAAGAAAAGTGAGATTGAGAGTTCATATTGGCTTCAGCCAGGACAATTTTTTCCTGCTTTTTATTAAGACACACCAACTGTGAAAGATTGCCATCTCAGATTTAGCAGACAGAAGGCAGCACCCAGCTCCTCAGCCCTCTTCCCCACTGGACATCAAGTCTCCCTGAATTTCTGAGTATAGTCACACAAAACCTACAACACTTCCATGCAAGCTTAACCTTTAACAACTTAACCCTTCAGATACCACATCTTGTTCAACAAAAGGGTTGGAATTGCTGTGATTCAACTACTTTTGTTTCACTGATGTGAACATTGCAAAGCCTCACATCTCTGCCAAGCACAGCTGTGATGCTGGCTGGACCAGTATCATAACTTTCCCTGTATCTGCAGCTAGAATACCAGAGACACAGGAGCTTTGCTTCCTGCACCCATCTGCACTCAAATTGCTCATGAGCTCTTACTTCTGCAAACCCTCATTTATAAAACCATCACAGCCTATGGATTAGTGAAGCAGTTTCTCCTCAGCCAGCCATGCTCTGGACATTGTGATCCTTTTCTGACTAAAAATCAAACACCCACATTGCTCCCACCTGTCTGCCCATACTACCTTCTCCCAGCCCAGGGTACTATAAAATCACAACTGGGAACAGTAGAAATAGTCCATGCTGATATCGGCTCCCTTTGCCTGATGCCGAAGAGTTGGAAGCTCACCTGGGACCAGTCATTCACCTCTTGGCTAGGACACAACTCTCTCATACATCATAAAACATATTGTACCTTCTATTTACTACTATTAAAACCCCCCAAAGCATCTTACCTGTGCTAAAAATAAGTCCACTCTCAACTTCACAGGCCTTCAGTGGTTGGTGCAACTATTCAGAGAAACACAGCAGGGGGATGGATACTAATAACAGCTTTTTTAATTCTGAGAGGGTCTTTCAAGCTGGAGTTATCCTATGACCCTGAAGCACTTCACAAATGACACAGTGACAGGCCCAGAAATGCAGCCACCCCCAAGCAGGGGCAGCCCAGCTCTGCCAGCAGGGAAACACACTGACGTGTCACACAAAGCACCATTCCAAACCACTGACTGACCACGCAAGGTCTATATTGCCCAGCACCCCAGGCTACAAACCCCATCCTGCTCCCAGCAGTGCTCCCGTTACCCTCCTACCTGCCCATCTTGAAGACTGCTCAGCACATAGAGACGCTGGGAAGGAGAAGGGAGAGCCTCCTCCATCCCACCCAAATAAACTCCTGGCCATGGCACGAGCACCACCTGGGTCAGCCAGGCCTCCAACCAGCAGCCCCATTACCCCACCACAGCTGGAGCTAATTTCACACTGAGTGGGATGGGGGGGTACTTTGCTGCAGGGCAGCCAGGTCTGGGGCCTTCTTTGGCAGTTGTGAAGATAGTCTGGCTTTCTTCCTGCTGGTCACCTTGTGTGTGATGGGGTTCCTGGGTCTATTTTCAATAAACAAAAGCTGGGTTTATTAAAGCTAAAGCCCTAGAAGCAGCCAGATCCTGAAGCAGACTCAATGCCTTGTGCGCAGTGGCCAGCAGACCTCCTGGTGCAGGGAGAAGGTAGTTTTTGGCCTGTCTCCTGCCCAGTTTTTGCCTTAGCTCTCCACCCTTTTCAGCAGCCATCCCAATGCCAAGCCACCCATGGGGGATCTTGGCAAAGGGAGGGTACAGAGCAGAGGAGAGCCCTTCCGTGCCCACCTCCTGCCCCTTTGATAGATTACTCGTAGGCACAGGCAGCCTCAGCAAAGCTATTTCACTGTGGGGGCTGCAGCCCCTCAGCATTCAAGCTGCGGGACCGAGAGCTGCTGTGTTCCATGGAGGAATTTAACAGTTTTCAAGTGAGCAGCCCTGGTGCAGGGTGCTGACCCCCTGGGAGCCCCACATGGGTAGAGGAGGGCCCAGGGAACGCTCTGTGCACGGCAGAGCAAACCCGCTCCCCTGCTCTGCATGCTGGAGGTCACCGGGGCTCTGCTCCCCTCTTCGGTGCCGTGGCTTCGTTTGCAGAGGGAACAAGAGGAAAGATGTTTAAATATTTCTGAAATACCCAGTGAGAAGTGAACCCTGTTGCCTGAGTTCACTCCTCAGCACTCTCCTCTCCTGTGCTAATCAGGGCTCCTGGCTCCAGCAGCATTTATTCACCCTAGTCAGAAATACCCCTGCTGCTCCTCCTCCCCTAGAGTTAATATCGTCTCAGATCCCCCTCCAGACACCCCCGTCTTTGCACTTTAGGGGGACTTTTCCACTTGGGAGCCACAACATCAAGAGGGTTAACTTTTTTAGCATTCATTTCCCAAATATCCCTGCTAAAGACACACAGCAGAAGCAGGAATTTTTCAGCATTGTGGGGATAATCCCCACTGCCATGAGGCTGGTGCAGCACTCAGACATCCTATCGGAGCACGGGCCGGCTGTCACCTCCTCTGATCCATTGGGTGGATCGGTGACTACGCGGTCTGGGCGCTGCCACCGCCTGCGCGTGCCCCATGAACAGAGCTTTCCCAGCTCCTGCCTGGCCCCGTCCCAGCCATGCTCCATCGCGGCGCTGCGGAGATGAAACCCAAACTCCCTCTCCCAGGCTGCGAGCTGATAAAGGCATCGCGCAGCCACTGCTGTGACCACAACCTGCTTGCACAAACGTGTTCAAACGCCGAAGAGCAGCGCGGCTGAAGCGCTTCCAGCTGCAACCCTCCGTGGAAGGAGCCGTCTCGGAAGCTGGCGGAGAGGCGGGAGAAGCGCAGCGAGCTCCCTCGCGTGGGGGCGGCTGCTGCAACGCTCCAGTTTTATTCAAGACTTGGTTTCCATCCCTCTGCTAAAGACATGCCACAAAGTCCCTGTTCTGTCCAGGTCTCCACAAGAGCTGAGGAGCTCAGAGGCCAGTGAAACACATTCAACCCTTCTGTGATCCTGTGCAACGCTCCTGTGATATCCCACAGCCATCACAGAAGAGAGGTCTTCTCTGGCATTGCAGTTAAATCTGGATGCTACATATCTGGTCTGTGTGAAGGGCTGATGGCTCTACACTCCTCCAGGACAGCATTACATTTTTCTGCAAGGTCGAGGCTGGTATTACATGTGCCTCTTGTAACAGAGCTCCCACCTCCCACCACAGAGCCTTTTCACGTAAAAAAAAAGATATTATTTATTGATTGAAGATACACAATTCAGGTACAGCACCAAAGACAGGTTCCTCCACTGGGCAGCTACACATCCTGTACACTGACAATATCCATATGCACAAAACATATACATTAATCATTTATATAGTTACAAAATTTCCTTGGTTACAGAGCAGCCAACAATACACAAGTGTCAAGTTTTAACGTTCACCTGGTCCTGCATCAGGTCCTCACAACTGCCCAGAGCTTCTCAGTGAGGCTCAATGCTGTGAGCCCTCCTTTCCAATCACAAACCACTTAGTGGTTTGTAATGGTAACAGCTGCCCAGAGAGGCTGTGGAGTCTCCTTCTCTGGAGATCTTCAACCCGCCTGGATGCCACCTGTGCCCCGTGCTCTGGGTGTCCCTGCTGGAGCAGGGGTTGGACTAGATGATCTCTAGAGGTCCCTTCCAACCTCAACCATTCCGTGATCCTGTGTAATGCTCCTGTGATGTCCCACAGCTGTCACAGAAGAGAGGTCTTCTCTGGCAATTGCACAGTTCAATCTGGACGCTACATATCTGGCCAGCAATCCTGGAAATGGAGCAACGCAGCTCCCCGTGTTCAGCACGTGCCACCCAGTAAACGCAAGCGATTCAGCGCATTCCCTCCAGCACTGGCTTATCCAGCCCTTCCACCAAAGCGATAAATTCCCAGGCTGACAGCTCGGGCAGGATGTGCGTGTGGAAGGACAGCGGGGGACATGTCACCAGCGCACCGGTGCCTTCGAGCAGGTGCCCATCAATTGTGGCTTTCTGCTGTGAACCACTGAGCGTGGAGGTCTGCGAGGCTCACGCGAAGCGGCTCTGGAGCGCAGGTTGCGTCTCGCGTCACCGGCGCGGTGGAGCGGCCTTGCCGGGGACAGGCAGAGCCTTCTGGAGACGACGTGCAGCGACAGCCCGTGGTATTGCACTTGTTCAGGATGCACGTGCTGGGGCTCCCGCCTGCCCTCTGCCTGGCCTCACCTCCTGCCAGACCCTTGCTGTCACCTTCAAGGTGACTCCCATATTGAGGATTTGTCTTAGAGTTTCCTGTCGCTGTGACCCAGCAACATGGAGCAAGACAAAACCTTCACCAGATGGGGTGAGCTTTGTGGCTACAAAGACAGAGTAAGAGGGAGGTGAAGTGCAATTAAAAACAAAAGAGCTGTTGCAGCAGCTAAACCACCTACCCACATGGCTGCTGGCAAAGCCTGCAGGAGGCAGCAGCCACAGACTGGCACAGCAGCGACTGCCAAGCAAATGGGAAGCAGGTTTCAGGCAGCAGAGCAAGATGCTAAGTTATCACCTGGCAAGGGGATGAGCTGCAGGGGATGTTTCTCTTGGTCACGGCTCTTCCATAGCATCCTTCCCTTCCTGAAAACAAAATACTTCTGCATTGCTAGGAAAAAATAATCCTGGGGAGGATGCATTGCTCTCCTCTGCCCATCTCAAAAAAGATCCTGCAAAAGGGCAAAGAAACTCCATGAAGGAGATTGTACTTTTCTGGAGGAGTCCGCATTAACAGAAATACAGGACTGCACCCAGAGCAATGGGAGCCAGGTTGCTGCTGAAGGATGGTGGGGGCAGCATTTGGCATGGGCAGCAGGCAGGTCCCCTGCATGGGTATTTTTGCTCAACAAATTAAAACACAGTTGCAGGGAACTGCCGTGTTCAGACAGTCCAGGAGTTTGCAGGATGCCAAGGCAGCTCTCCCGCTAAACACCGCAGCTCAGCTTGTCCATGCCTTCAGCTTGCTCTTCCAACAGGGAAAGCAGCAGCCTAATGGGGCTGCAGTGCTGGCACAGCCCTCGGGAAGGATCTGCCTCCCCTGTGACACACAGCAGTGGCCTGAGAAGCAGCAGGGACAACAAGACACATGCTGGAGACAGCTGCCTCCTAGCAGGGGACACAAAGCTGCATTGGAAGTAGGGAGTGCTGCCAGGGAGCGAGCAGGGCCAGGAGGAGGGCGAAGGATTTGGTCGCCTTCTCATGATTTAGCACAAAGCAATGAGACTGCAACACAAGCACAGAGGTGCTGGGCTCGCTCGGGCACTGTAAACGAGGTGTATTTCTGTGCAGAGACCCAGCACTGTGGTGACCACGCAGGAACACCCCGTCCTGCACAGCGGAGCACAGCAGCGGAGAAGGCTCCTAGCTGAAGATAACCAACTCGCTCGCTCTTTCAGAGCCCCGTGCCTGGTTTGCTCTCTCTCTGTATCATGCAAACACTTCAGAAAAACATTCATCAGATGCATGGTCTAAAGGGGAGAGAATCGTCACTACTAGAGTTGTGGGCCAGGGCTTGGGAAAGTCTGCTGCTCAGTCCAGAGCTGCCATGCCCAGCACTGAGACCCGGGCGGGCTGTCCCACACGTGCCACAGCACTAGGGACAGAAGCGGAGGTGCAGCACAGTCAGCATCGATGCTGAAGGAGCCCGAGGCCCTGAGCTGCCAACACAATCCTGGTGTCCTGCGATCTCCGGAGGTGCCTCTGGCACCAGCAGACATGGGACCAGCACCTGCCAGGGGTTCCCTCCTCTCCTTGTCCCCAGGACACTCTGCACCAGGCACTGCCCTCACTGCCCACCGGGAGCAGCTCCACGCTCTGCGACCTGAGCTGAAGTCTCTCTGTTGCCATAAATAAAGTGCTGATGGGGGAAAAGAAAATAAAATGGCACAGAGAAAAGCAGTCCTTGTTCCCTCCCCTACTGAGAGAAAGGGGGAATATGATAAGGTTGCAATGAAACAAAAATAAAAGCAAAATTTAGATTCCCAGGATTCCTTGTCCCTTAAAAAGTGACTCTATATACATGGGTGGCAAGGGGGTTGATTTTGCTATCCCCTCTGCCAGAAAATTCCCTGAGGAAGGCACTACCCCAGCCACAGGCCAGACTTCACCTCCCCCGGCCGTAGAAGCCAGCAGAAACCCTGCTGCACACCAAGACGGGTGCCAGGGATGGGTAGGCAGCATCAGAGGCTTATTCTGTGGTGAGCAGCTCAGCCTCTTTCGCACAGACCACAATAACCATAGTTTACAGGAAGAGGGGGAAAACTATCCCTAGGGAAGTGGCCCAGCCCCAGGGTGTCACCAGCTGCCGGGGAGGCGCGCGGGGCCTGTCACTGCACGGAGGTGCTGGTGGCATTCACAACCACGGAGGGAGTAGCCAGCTCCACCAGCGCCTCGTAGGTCCCGACCACAAAGCCCACGAAGCCGAAGAGGCTGATCACAACATCCTTGATGATGACAACGGGGTGCAGTCCTTCGGCGTAGAAGGTGGCGATCTCCAGGAGCGGGGGGAAGATGAGAGCCAGCGCGCTGCTGCTCACGGAGCCCACCAGCGAGATGACAATGTCCAGGCGCGGGATGAGGATGGCCAGCACGCCTGAGGAAGGAGCACAGCCGGGTTAGCAAGGCACAAAGACATTGCCAGACAGCAGCAGAGACCAAGCACCCAAGTTCAAGCAAGCCGAGCAGATGGCATCTCTGACAACCCCAGTTGCACCTCTGCCCTCTTGCCTGATACAAGCTAAGAAGAGATGATCGCATATTTCCAATCATCTCCCCAAACAATTAAGCCATTGCATTTAATAAACAAAACACACCATATAGGCCCGTTCACCTCCCAAAACAGGAGACTGAAAAGCTCTCTCCACCCAACAGCAACCCCAGCTCATCCCAACAGCCCCCAGAGTCCTTTCTGGGTCCACTCCCACTCATCACAAACATCACCTGTGCTGTGTGCCACCAAGGGACTCCGAGCACCACTTTGGAGAACACAAAGCCACAAAGTCACAAGAAAGTGACACGTGTGGAGCACACCTCTCCCAGGAGGAGATATGAACTGGAAACACCGAGGCCAGTGTGCTGCAAGCAGAGGTCTCCATTCAGATGGAAACCACTACACCTTTTCCAAACTTTTGGTTGTTTTTACCCCAGTATCAGGACAAACCTCTGTAACCTCTCTCATCCCCAGGCCAGCAGGCTGCAGACCAGAGAGCACTTGGGTGACAGCACCTGGCAGGTTTCTCTCTCCTTACCAGGCTCAGAAATCACATTTAATGTTTCCTGGCAAGGTACAAGCACTTGCTCTCGAGGTGCCCGTTAAGGCAGAGCATTTCTGCAGCTGGGTGAGCAGAGAGCCCCTGACCAAAGGTCGGGCAGGATAACTGCCCCGGGCCCAGGGATGCTGCTTGCAGGAGGGGAGGTTCTGGCCTCCACCACAGGAGCCAGCAGTCACGCACTCCACCTCCAAGGTCTCTTCCTCCACACCTGGGGAGCTGTGAAGCCTTAAAAAACCTGCAAAAGCAGGAGGCAGTAAGAAAAAAAAAGTGGTATCCCCCCACCTCTGAACAAATCCATTTGTTTTGCATATGTTTAGAGCTGTTCCAGAGCAAGCGCGCCTACACCACAGCCTGTGGGAGAAGATTTGTTAAAAAAAGAACTTGAGCCAAAAAAAAAGAAACCCAAGAGGCTTTTTACAACTTTCTCTGCAAAATCCTGATTTTTCCCCCTCTATCTGTTACAGGATGGAAGAGGAAGTGGGGAAGGACCTCCTTCGAATGAGGGCATAAGCCCAAACATCATCACCACCAGCCATGGGGGCAGCCTCTTGGCTCTTTTCTGTGTCTGGCCAGGATTGCCAACATAAACTAAGGTTACTAACGGCATAAAGGCAGCCACAGTGAGCAAGTTCATATTACTGGGTGCTTCAAGTGTTTGGGGATAGGACTCAGTCTTGACCTAGGACCCTTCCACCAGCCCAAACAGCAATGAAATGTGCACCGTTTGCTACAGGCATCCTGCCCCAACGAGGCCATCAAAAGCCAAGAGGATGGAGCCATCAAGTCACTGCAAACTGCCTGGGAGGACCAAGCTAAGGGTGTGGGTTGCACAGGCAGAGCCCCAGGCAGGTGCCACATAGAAAGGGTCTCAGTGCTGCAAGAAGCCAAAGGTCTGCCCAGCCACCCCTCTGCCACGAGGAGATCCGGGCTCCTGCAGACCAAGGGGAAGAGCTACCAACAGCATCCTCAGCCCATCCCACACCATTCTTTGGACACAAAGTAAACGTCATTAAACCCCACTCAAAAATAAGCAGAACTAAAGTACCAGCTGCAGGCCTCAGCCTCCGGGGCCAACGGTCGCGCTTTCCGCAGATATTAATTCAAAGGGCTTTTAACCGTGCTGGTTTTGAAGTCTAAGTTTAAAAGACACCCATCTAGCAAATTGCATCCTCTATTTGGAAGCCAAAGCCATGATGCAGGCTTGTTCTGCGGCCACAAGATCGTCTGATGAATATTCATGCTACTCCCTTAATTGCTTTTATCCTCGCCAACAGCCACAGTGATCTCTTACACCGAAAGATGAGGATAGGAGATATAAAGGAACCTGCATCCCTCCACCAACACCTCTCTGTCCCCAGCCCCAAACCGAGGGCACAGTCACTGCTGTCACCTAAAGCCACCCCTTTGCCCTAAGCTTTTCCTCAACTGCCGACATCGCGGGCTCCGCTGCCAGAGGCAGGTTCTGAGCTTGACCATTAGGACAGGGGTGACCATAGCACATGCCCCAGCACTGCAGGGTTTAATCTTTGCTCTGTCCCTCCGGCCTTCCTGAGCTTTCCAGCTTCAGCTGCCCTTCAAAGCAGAGAGGGAGATCAAAGCCCTCCCTGGTGCGCTGTGATCCTGCTTTCCGCTCTCTCCTGCTCTTCCCGTGCAAGGGTGGGAGAAGGCAGGACAAACAGCCCGTGCTCTTGTTTTCCAGCTGGACACTGAAAGGTTTTCTCTTTTTCTTCAGGCAGCGAAAGGCCTCAAGATCAAAGCTAGCTCTTCTCAAAATGGGCTCTGGGTAAATAAGGGACTGGGGAGAAGGAGGGAAATGATGAGAAGGCTCTTTGGGAGTCTGTGTTGGCTCCTGTGTGGTCAGGCAAAGCCTTGCTGCTAAGGCAGTAGGTGCTACAGAGTTACTCTTCACTGGACTAAAGATTCAGCCAAAGGTACCATCCACATCCCTCCTGCTCCTGAAGCTTATTTCCTTCAGGTAGGACATTTCCCAGGCACTGAGGAAGGCTTGGGCAAGGCTCAGCCTGGGAAGGTTGTGCCTGACCCATGGGATTTCCACCCCGGGACACTGAATGCTGCCAGCTGTGGGTGTTCTGCAATGACAGACAGGAGCATCAATACCCCAACAGCTTGGACCGGAGCTTCAGGAGCTCAGCACGGATGAGACAGGGCTTCATCCGTCTCAGCTAAGGCAGCACTTCTGGCCCATCATCATTATTGAGAGCCCAGACAACAACAGCTTCTCTGCCAGCTTCGTCTTCCACAAATAAGTGCTGCGTTTTTCTCACGAGCCTCAAACAAAGCCAGCTAGGACACAGAGTCCAGGTCTCTGACGCTGAACTCTGGTGCATCAGCAGCATCAAACTATGAAGCAAAGGTCTTTCTTGGTGGAGGACGCCTGGGAGCTCATTCAAGCATCTCAGCTGTGCTGACAACAGCAAGGATATAATAATTTTCAAGAATCAAAGCCAATCACAATTGTATACTCCTGTGCTTCAGTGACCCATTGCTCCTCAGGCTTCAACAGCTCTGCCTTTCCCAGCTCATATTTCTCCCCGTTAAAAAATATGCAGACAGGTCAAACCCTATTCCTCAACCTGTTCAAAAATCACAATTCACCTCAGTTTCCCAAATATGCAGGCAATTGCACGCAGTTGCTTTTATACCAGGCAGTGGCTGGCATCAGGCTGCATCTCGGTGCGAGAGCACCCTGATGCTATAGCATGCAGCAGCCCTTCAGGAGGTTGGCCTCTTTATTCAAAACATTCTGAATACCTCTGGTGATTAAAAATCATCTTTAGGGTCTCCAAACTAGGTCCAACCACAACCCTCCCATAACTTCAGCAGAGCAACAAGGGATTTTAGACTGTGCATCAACCACTTGGCGTTGCCTCCCAAAGCCATGCAGCCTTCTGCAGGAAGACCAAACAGCTTCCAAAATAACATGGCAAGCACTTCCAGCATTGCTCTTTTGTCCAGCAAATGGGCTTTGGTTAAGTTTGCTCTCAGGATTTGCACCTTTGGCCAGCACCACCTCAGGGCTGTCAGGATGAGCCCTGTTTGTGTGACAAGAGCTGGCTCCACCACACATTTTCTCTAGGTCAGGCAAGGCTTGAGCCTGCCAATCTACTCCACCAGCCTCAATGCAGCCACAAAAGCCCCACAATAATAATTATAATTTTTAAAAAGTACTATTGTGGGCTGAGATAGCCAGAGCTGCCCACAGCACTGGCGCACCAGGGTTTTGGTTATAAGCCATCCATCCATGGATCATTTTCAGTTATCTGCTGTTGTGCTACATACTGCAATAAAACACGTGCTTGGAAAAGCACTTATGTACTTGGCTTTTTCCTGCTGCTGTCAGACAACACCCAGCTTTCAAAACAGAGTCCAACCAACTCAGCAGAGAAACTGGGGAAGAAAGGGAGGTAGGAGTGCATGGAAGCGACCAAGAGGTTATCATGCCATAACATCTGATAAGTCAAACTGCTCACGACAAGGATTCCCTGGCTGGATCCGGTTTTCCCTGTTCACTCGAGGTTTCTTCTCAATAGCCACTAGTCTATAACTTCAGATTTTGATTTGTTTTAGAGAGAACCCAGGTAAGGCATCAAGTGCAAATACACATCTAGCTCGAGTCCCACCCTCTAAAAGAGATGTCATTACATCCTAGGATAAGCCTGGAAAGGGCTGGGAAAGGACACGCATCCCCTTCCTGTCAGCAAAGCCTTTGCAGTTGTCCCTGGCTACGTGTTGCTTGGGCACTGACCTGGCTGCTCAGTGCATACAGAAAATAGACAGCCTCAGGCCTAGTGTGTCCTGGCATCTGACTTGGTGTTGGGACTGTTTCATAGACACTTTTTTCAGCAAGCGCCATCAGTGGAATCCCATTCCCAAGGCTCCAAGGCCGCCTCATCTCTGCAAAGCAGCATCAGGTTGCAGCCCCGTCTGGACACACAGCTGCAACACACGGCTCATGATCTGGCAAGATGTCCAACTGCAGCAACTGCCCCTTGCTGAGATGAGCATCCTCAAAGCAAACACACACCGCCAGCACAGGGAGAACGCGTGACCAGATGCTCCAGGTAGCATCTAGCCTCCCTCCCAGCCACAAACAACAGGAATCTTGCCCGGTCTTCAGTTTCCCTCCTACAGATTTGCCAGGTCTAAGCTGATCTGCCACCTCCAATTCAAGTAGGAAATTTGCACAGAAGAGGAGGCATAAGAGGCTGCAGGTAACTAAGCACATCCCCCCACGACAAAGGGCCTAAGCACCTTCCAGACAGAGGAAGCATAAGGGAATATGACACATGCCCCAGGGATAAGCCCCACAGGCTACTCCCCAGCAGTAAAGGCTGTTCCACAGAGGGGCTAGAGAACCACTGCTGCTGCCTGTTGTTTTCCTGGCCCTCTGGTTTGCATTGGAAAGGTTCAGGGGACCACCAGGGCAGTGCCAACAGCACAAGAGGTGGCAAGACCAGGGTGTGCAGGGGGCTGAGGCTCACAGCATTAGCAGCCTGCAGGGGGAAGGAGTCAAGCTCCAAACAGACTCTTCCTACTCACAGGTGATGCCAACCAGGGCCGTCCGGAGGAGCAGGTTGACCAGCAACGCCCAGCGCTCCGAGACTCGTGCAATGACAGGAGGGATGATGATCTCGGCGGGCACGTAGAACTGCACGGCGTACGTGAAGAAAATCCCGAAGGAGAAGAGCAGCTTCACGGCTTGGTATAACCTACAGATGAAACAGAGGGAAGCTGGCTGAGATGGGCTCTTGTCCCAAACCCCTGACATCAGCTGAAGGCAACAACCAGAGAAGGCACATTCTGCAGGAAGGACATTAGTGTCTCAGCTGTTTCCCTTCCACATATCCCCCTTCCAAATGAAGAGGCAATGCCTCAATCCTCTGTTTCTTGCACAAGAGATGGCAAGGAAACAGCGCAACCTACAAGCCCTGGTAACACATGTCCCCAGCACCTGATTAGAGGCCTCAAGTCTGGCTTTGCGTAAGGAATTGGCATGCCAGGAGTTGAGTCTTTCAATTGCTACTTCCCCCTTGGGAAACCTCTAGGGAACAGATATTTATGTGCCTTCTAGGGGCCAGGCTATTTTTAAGTAAATCCCATTCCATTCTTAACTTCAAGGGTGCAGAGAAGGTTGATGCATCTTTGGGCAAGAGATCAGGACGTAGCTTTTCCTTACACATTAAGGCACCTACCTACATTTCTAGAGGCTCAAAACACCCCTAGCAGCTCGTGTGCACAGTACTGCCCTCGGGCACACAAGGTGAGAGTCCTTGGACACCTCACACCTTATGGAGGGATAGAGGCTCCTTCCTGCCCTCTCCACTTCCACGTGACGGGGTAGACTCCGTAAGGCACGCAGTGACACGGGGTGGCCTTCCTCCTGACTGCCACACAGCGCACACACCACGGACAACACCTGAGTTAGGAAACCGTCCTCACCAGAGAGACAGCACCGATAGCGGTAGGAACCTGCAATCAGCTGATGACCTAGAAGGAAATTACCTCCATAAACCCTCACCAAACATTTCTTATCTTTGCCTTCACTAGTGAAGTCCAGTTTCCAAGCTAAAGGATGGAAAAAAAAATCATTTTCTCCTGGTAGTAACCAGCAAGATTTTTTTCTCTATCTTAAAATAGGAATTGAAAAATATCTTCTAAGAGGACTATCAGCTGCAGCCGTGAATACCTCACAGATTTCAATTACTGCTGAACTCCCCAGTAGGAGGAAGAACCACCTCCTCAAGAGGACAAGCCTGGGCTTACAAAATTAACGCAATGCAAACATCACCACCACCACCTGCAACTCAGCTGCCTCCAAGAAACAGAAAAATAGCAGCTATTTCTGGAATGCTGCATAATGCATGTTTGGGGAAAAGACAGTTAAAATAGGAGTTTAGGTTGCCTGGAAGAAACTCAGTATGTACACAGGCTGCAAACCAGAGCTTGGACTTGCTCCAAGGCAGACCTCACCGTGTCCCAGATCCTACAGCAAAGGGACAGGAGGCAAGGGCAGCTCCAGAAGGACCAGCTACAGCTAAGGCCAGGAAACCACCCCCGGCCCCGACTCTGCCCTGAGCAACTTGGCGATGGAACAAGCCTCTGTACAGAGGAGCGATACCCGGTCACGTTACACATGGCCCTACTTGTTCCCCTACACAGATGTGCTGGTCAAGGTGGACAGCAAATCCAACGCGAGTCAGGATCATGTCCTTGCAGCAATTAAGGTTAATCATGCACTGGGCTGTATTAGTAAGGGCAATCAGCAGGTTAAGGAAAGGTATTATTCCCCTCTCCCTTCTGTTTGGTACTCATGAAGCTGCACCTGGAGCAGTGTGTCCAGTTTTGGACTTCCAGGACTTTCATGGAGTAAGTCCAGCACAGAATACTAGGAGAATCTGGTGCTGCAGTGCAGGACATGCAGAGAGAAGTGGAGAGTACTGGGTTTGTTCAGTCTGAAGAAGAGAAGCTTAAGGGAAATGTTACTGCTGTCTTCAGCTACCTAAAGGGAAGGCGTGGAGAAAAAGAGAACCAGGCTGTTCTCAGAGGGCTGCAGGGAACAAGGATGCAGCAAGGGAAATTGAATAGACAGGAGGAAAGTCTTTTACCCCAAGGGTATTTAAACACCGGAACAGGGACACAGAGACGTGGGGGGAATCCCCATCCTTACTGAAATTCAAAATTTCAGCTGGGACTGCTCGGAGTGAGAGTTTGGACCCAGTGACCTCATGAAGTTATCCCCAACTTAAATTATCCTGCGATTCTATAGGTAAACAAAGGCCAGAACTCATGTCAGAGTCCAGAGTGCACCCACTCAGCCACAGCACGCAGTTTGTGACTGCAGTGTGCAATAGCCTTTAGCCATCTATCCCATGGTTTGCATATCCTACAGCCGTATTTCCAAGCAAGTGAATATCAAATGTTGTAAAGCAATAAAGTGCTCCAAGGCTATCCACATTTAAGAGATGCTATTTTAAAAGTTACAGAATAAGGTTGGGTTAAGATCTTGCACAGATCGGAAGGAACCAGCACAACAAGCACAAAGGGCAGCTTCAACTCAAGAAGACAAGAGCTCACCCCTAGACATGACCCGCACAGAAAGCAGGTTCACTTAGGGCCTCCGGAGAGGTACTGCTCTGCAGACTGCAGCCAACGTCTGCTTATCCAGGAGAGACCTCCCGGGCCACCTCTACAAGCTGCAGTTCAAGGTATTTCTGCAAGATATGGCATCCCATTCTCTGACCAGAGAATCTTTAACTTCATACCTCCAAATGGTCACACACGAGCAAACACGGTTGCCCTTGCTAAAGAATTTCTTCACTTTTCAGATGATGGGGTGAAGCAACCCTTCTGAGGGTGCAAGAAGGGGTTTCTGCATAGCAGTACAGTATTTCGTGGAGATCATGGTTAGACCAGGGCACTTTGAACTAACACACTGCTCTCTGGGAAGCTGTGGTTACAGAGCAGGGAGGTTGGAAAGTCCTTAGTCATCCTGTATCTCAATGATTGCTCAAACGCTTCTCAAGTCTGTTCCTAGAGACCTGCAGGCAATGACTGCAGCTGAAGAAGGATGTAGCATCTCCTCCACAACACGAGCCTTGTGCTTCCCGTGCTGCAGGCAATCCCCGGGACTTCCTACCCGCCGCCCTCATGACCAGCTGCTGCGGTGCAGAGCCCGACTGCCGAGGAAAAACAGGCAACAAAGCAGAATTCACTTCCAGAGCAAGTCTTCACCCATCACCTAAGGTTTAATGCAAGTGTGGGAATACAGTGTTCAAGGGTTCAGCTTTAATTTCCCAGCCCTTACTTTAACAAGACAGATAACACATTTCCAAGTCCAATATTTACAGCCTCCATTGAATGTTCTGCCAGCAAAGAACATGCACAAACACTGAAGTGCTTGGTGTGCAGAACCACGACAGACCACAGCACTCCTCCTCCAGAGGCAGCCTGTAGAGCACGGGAGCCCCGTCTCCTTCCCTGAGCTTTTGTGCACCACTTACCAAGGGCACTGTAGCTTGTTCTTCCTGTATAAGAAAAATCCTACATCATCTTCCATAAAAGGACTTTGATGGAAAGTGTAGATACTTCTAGAGGCATGCATTCAACACAAAATCCTTATAAAGACTAAAATTAAAACACTGCTTCAGTTCTCTCAGTTTCCCACTCACAAGAACAGCAGCAGCATTTCTTCTTCCCATCTCATCTGAGGCTATTTTATCTGTGTTTTATCTGTAGCTTGTTGAGCTGGTGGGGTTCCTACTTACCGCGCTCTGCAGGTTGGGATTCAAATCTCATGATAACGACGACACGTTTTTCAAAAGACCCGTCCCTTCTCACCAACAGAACAGTAATCTGCAAGTACTTCACATCCCAGCATAGTTAACACTCAGGGCTCTCAGCAGCAGCAAGACTTTCTGTTGCATTCCTCCTTGGGGATGAACATGAAGACACTGCACTGAGCCCCCCGGGAACAGATCTACAGGCACGCTGCTGGCAGCCAAGAAAGGCATAGGACAACATGAGGAGCAGGAGAAGTGCAGGCAGAGGAGTTGGTCCTGTCACTCAAGCAGTTTCCAGAGGTTGACAAACAGTCAACGTAGCCCAAACTGCAATAAGATGGAACAAGAGACTAACAAGCTTTTCCCTAGCTCTTGCCCTTCAATGCCTTCCCTCCAAGTCCTTTGAAACCAGCTCCTGAGAAGACATCTCTACAGGCACTGAAGGGCAAGATGAACACTGGCTCTACACAGTAGTTCAAATCTCTGCACGACACACGTGTACTTCCAAGCCACGCGCAGCAGCACACACAGATGCTGAGCACCACAATTTAACCATGCATTTTCCGATGCATTTACGGTTTGGCAGCTGGGGACCAACATGAGCAGCACGGGCAGGAACGAGGCTGCTATGTCCGGGCAATGGCATGCAACTTGGCCAGCTACTGCAACAGCCAGCAGCCCCTGGCAAGAAGAGAAAGGAAACCTCTGGATAAGCACTTAATGACACCTCTGGATAAGCGCAGCCTAAGTACTAGGCCACACATGTTTCCGTAGGGCTCTGATACTTCAGGTCGGTGGCAGAAGCTTTACAAGAGGCCTTGCAAGATTCTAGAAGAGGACAGACAGGTTTGGGGAGCTGCAGAACTTGGCCCCTATGGGAAGGGGCATCCTCACAGCAACAGCTCCCACAAGCACAGTCTCATCCAGGCACAACGCAGAGCCCAGGAGTGGGAGTTTGAGCTCCAGGGCTACAAACAGGAACACAGCTCCGATGCGAGGCGTCATGTCTCTCCCCCACAGGGAGCTCCCAGCTTTGAGATTAGTTTTTAGTATGTTTCATTTGGGGAAGAGAAGCAGTTTTGTGCTGTTCACTGACCTTATATAGTCTCATCAAGGTTGGATTTCAAGTCCTCTTACCCTCAACACTCAAGTATTGACAACCAGAACCCTGCTTGGCTCCCAAAACAAGGCTGCGAGGCTCCAAGAAAGGATGGGAGCAGCATCTAGCAAGGCAGGAGACATTAAATAGCCTTAGGAAAAAGATGAACCTCATGGAGAACCATCTCCCGAGCTAGAGAGTCGAGATCAAACACAGCAGCAGGTGTTCAGACACCTCAGCAACAAGCACCTCTCCTTTCCATACATCAGATGACAGTTGACAAGCTGCTTGGGACACCACCAGCATTTTCTTCATCATCACCATTGCCCCACTTCCAAACCCATCCTGGCTAGTTCTTCTAGGAAGAGACTTCCACCGCTGTCCTCTTTTCCACACCCTTGGTGAGGACCATCCTCCCTCCCTCCCCTGGCCCCTCTGCTCCCACTCAGGAACTCACCAGCAGTTGGGCAAGTTGAGTGTTATGCTGGCCTGGATTTCTGCTCCGAAGCGCAGGTACCCCAGGACGCCCAGGCTAACGTACAAGACCGTGACGATCGTCATCCCCACGTAGAGGATCACCGGGAAGCGCTGGGGATTCTTCATTTTGTTTTCCAGAGGTAACACCTTGGGGAGGAAGAGAAGAGCAGGGGAGCACATTTCTCCTTGTTTCTGCAGGCTGCACAGTGCTTGT